CCCCAGAATGAGAAACAACTTTAAATCATAATTATTGACGGATAAATAAACTTTTTACACGCTTTGGAAAATCTCAGAAGTTCGCGGTAGTCACTTTTCGGTAAGGAACTAAGGGACTCGGTTATTGTATCGAGCAGGGTTCGAAACGATCGCAAAGGCGGTATACTACGTATACGCGCCAAAAATTCGAAAGTCCCCAAACTCCGTATCACGCTGTTGTTCATAGAGTACTTGTGTACAAGATTTGACTGAGAAACAGGTGGAAATGACTTTAAAGCTATATCCTCGAATGAATACATCGCAAATCGAAAGAAAAAACGTTGGGGTATTCACTTTAAATGCACTTTATTTTACTTACTGGCAGTAAGTAGCCAGGCAACCAAGTAATTTTACCTTTTCATTTTGGTACGTTATGCAAACAGAAACATTAAAACTAAAAATTAGCTGGAATCAGCTTTGTCAGTCAGTTCTCATGCGTCTTCTTCCACTCTCTACTTCTTTCATTTTGGTGCGGTGGCGTTTACGGATGTGGCGTTTGCGGACTCTAAGAATCCGGCGGCGTTTGCGGATTCTTATATTTTGATGGTGGCGTTTGCGGAAAGGCGGAACAGGGCCGGTGGAGTTTGCGGACCAGAGAATTTCGGCGGTGGCGATTGCGGACGGAGGGGTAGGCACTTAATTATGCTGCCCCCCACCCCTGCGCTGTTTATTAAAGAAAAAATTACCGGAGAGGCTTTAAAATTATTTATACAAATATAATTGAAAATATGCGAATTAGCTGGGTTTTACGTAATATTTTGTCATTTGAAATGACAATAACAAACTCAACAAAAATTTCGAAATCATAAGTTCAAAACCGCTGACGCCGCAAGTTTGACTAATCACATCAAACACAGTGCGGTCGGCGCGCACGGCGCACAGTAGCGCCTTACAAGACCGCAGAATACTTCATGCATTGCGCGTACGGCACGGTGCGCGTGACGCGTAGTATAGCGCCTTACAAATCTGCAGGATACTTCATGCATTGCGCGTACAGCACGGTGCGCGCTGACGACATATCATAGCGCCATACAAGTCTGCAGGATACTTCATACATTGCGCGTATACCACGGTGCGCGCTCAAGTCGTTGAAAAGTTGTATTTTCTTGGTGTCGAACCTACCCCGAAGTACCCAATTTCCGAATAAAGCACACCGCCAGGCTCTGGATTCCTTTCCGTGGATGGAAAAAAAAATATTAGTAGTAAGCATTAGTATTATATTAGTATAAAAACATATGAGCAAAGAACATACGGTAAATTTTTAAAAAAGGCATATCAGAAATCAAGGAGCTAAAAAATCGTCAGTTTCAGCCCATTTTTAGGATTCAAAACATGTTGTAAATTCTAGTCCAAAATTACTGAAAGTAAAAAAATTACATTTGAAAAATGAAAACACATAGGTACATAGGTACAAACTGCCGTGCTAAGGAAAAACGCCGTATGAACATTCGAGAGTTGCCACATTTCCTTTGATACAATGTTTATTTTTTAGAAAAGTTATGAATATTTTTCTATGAAATTTTCAGGTAATGTGTATTAAAGTGCGAACAAAATTCTATGAAAAATTGGAAGAAAAATATTCATAATTTCTTGATTTCTGATATGCATGTATTAAAAATTTACTGCATTTTCACTGCTCATATGTTTTTATACTAATATAATACTAAAGTTTAATACTAATATTTTTTTTCATCCATTGAAAGGAATCCAGAGCCTCTCCGGTAATTTTTTTCTTTAATATACAGCGCAGGGGTGGGGGGCAGCATAATTAAGTACCTACCCCTTCGACCGCAATCGCCACCGCCGAAATTCTCTGGTCCGCGAACTCCACCGGCCCTGTTCCGCCTTTCCGCAATCGCCACCCTCAAAATATGAGAATCCGCAAACGCCACGTCCGCAAATGCCACCGCACCTTCATTTTTCTCTCTTCCCCAATTTATTACAGTGCTCCGTCTTTTACCCAAATCCCTCTTTCTGTTATTGCCAGTGCTTGCACAGCTGGTAAGACTAAATAGCTAGAACCTTTTACTTTGTCCTACCCTCTGCATTATCTAGAGGTGTAACTTTGAGGTTGATTCAAAAGGCAATTGTTAAGAAAATATGGAAAAAGAGTTATTACAAACACTCAGCTTTACATCAATAAAGGAACATTGTTATTTTTAATCAGTGACTCATTAGACTAAAAAACCTCAAACGCCTATAGGTTGCCCATTTTATTGACCCAAAGTGATTCTAGACTTCAACTGAATTAAAATACACAGAAAAAGATAGTTTAAATGAAAACTACATCGCTTAGTGAAATATATCAAGTTTATTTGATAAATTTACACAGCATATTCGTAAAAAAAACTCATGTAAGTATAAAAAATCACAGAAATTCTGGTGTTGGTGTGGTTTGGCGATGTTCCGTGGAGGGACGAGAACATTCGTCTGTGTTCATTTCGTATTGTCTAAAACTAACTTTTCACAATATACTCGTACATAACAGACATTTTTCCTGAAAGACAATATTATGTCTAGACATAACAATATCGTTGAGAAATGTTGGTAAATATGATTTTTTACAAAATTCCACTTTGATTTCTAAGAACTTTAAAGAATTCACACACTGCTCTCTCTCTCTCTCTCTCCCTCTCTCTTACACTCATTCATGCATATGAATGCAAAAGCCGTCTCATAAGTCATTATGGTGGCTTAACTTAAAAACTACGTATTTCATCAGTTGCGGTATTTCAAGACGTCCGCTTTTCTTTTAAATTTCTCTGAAGGAAATGAGCCAGCTTTTTTTCTTGAAATCCTATCAGATTATTCTTCACTTGCATAAGAAAAATCACGAGCATTGTCAAAGAGTTACTTTGATTAGTTTTCCATTCATTTAGTGAAGCATACATGGCTTACTGGCAGGGCAGCATACAAAACTTACTAATGTCCAATTGTGTGTTTCAGATGGTGTTCAGAGCTAAATATGCCTTCAAGAAGCTCTTGATCACTGATCAGCATAAATCAAACTAAAATAAGAAGAGATCTACTTGTAGGACCTAGGCAACTTTAATTTTATAACACTCGAAAAAACTGCATGACTAAAAATCGTAATGTACAGACTATATGGACAGTCCGTCCGTTCAGGTTTAAAAAACTCCATTTTTAGATTTGAGAGCCGTATCCTCAACTACTCTAAGTTTTTGAATGGACGAGACTATAAGCAGCTCCTGATGAAATTCGGATTTCACGGCCTTTGAACCCGGGACAGATCTTAAATCTGCGCGGCCCATACTTGGTCATTTTCCATGAACAAGGAAGCTATCTCCATCCCAAGGTTGCAGAAATTACGAAAAAAGTTACACGAGAATACGACTGCGTAATTTTCGACCAAAATGTTGCTGACTTTTGCCAGTAATCCTTGGGACAGTCGGTGAAATTTTGAATACAAAATATGCATGGGATTTTTAGGGAAAATACATATTATGAGTGAAGATTTTGTAACTTTAAAATTCAGTGATGTTTTCTCGTGTGCGGGACTACGAACTATGAATTTCAGAGCCAGGGTTAACCTCTTCCATGAGCTCCGCTAAACACAAAGCCTACCATAGTGGCATAGTCCCATTTTAAAGAACACTTCAACAATACAATGGCTATAAATTCTGAAAACACGTAACACTCTTAAGTTGGGCTGTAATTGAAGCGTTTCAAAATCTTCTACAGTGTTTCTACTTTTTAAATGAAAAAAGAAAAACTCACGAATAAAACCCTGATGCAAATAAACCGTAGAACAGAGTCAAAATGCCAATAACTGATATTAATTATCGACTGATCTCAACTGATGTCAACAGAGGCGTTAACTGATATAAATTGGGATCCGTTCTTGGAATAAACTGTTTTATTGGCGTTTCGATAGGTAGCATTCTACTGATCACTTTTATCGGGGCTCGTGGTTCGAAATTTTCACGCAATAATCGTAATGGGGTGAAAATGAAACGTGGGGCTTGAAGGACAAGGCGCATAAGTGCAGTTTTAGCTATTTCGAGAAATACGTGTTTAAAGTTTCGGAATTATATGGATTCTTATGGCAAAAAGGAAGTTCAAACTGACTTTTTGATGCTTAAAAATTGGAATTTGGGAGAGAATTTTTCACAGAACATGCATCTAGACTAGTTTTACTTGAAATCATTAATATGTCAATTTTTCAAAAACTGCACTTATGCGCTCTGAGCCCCTCAAATGCAAAAAATAACGAAGAATTGTTTTTCTCGTCTCGGAAATTTGCAACGTCACATTCTGCGATACATGTTTTCACGATTTGTCATCAATCACTGGAAAAAAAGTCGCTTGGATCTAGAATCCAGACTCTTATAACATTGACAAAAAAAAAATACTCTTGACTCGATCAGATTTTTCCTTGAATCGAAAAGCCGAGCCTCTTGATTTACAAGCGCATTTCCTCTTGATTCAAGGAAAGTCTTATGGAGTCAAGGGTATTTTTTCTTGTCAATGTTTTTAAGTAGAGTTTGGACTCTAGATCCACACGGAGAAAAAAACTTGGTGCACGGGACCCGAAGTTGAGGTCATATGGATCTCTGAAGTTTTCTGATCACGCATCCGAAAACTTGAGGTCGAGCTGCCGAAGTTCGGGTCAGACATCGAGGCACTTAAGTAAGTACCGGAGTACTTCAGATGTGTGACCCGAACCCTTCGGTATATATCGAAGTACTTCAGATGTCTGACCCGAACTTCGGCAGCTCGACCTCAAGTTTTCGGATGCGTGATCCGAAAACTTCAGAGATCCATATGACCTCAACTTGGGGTCCCGTGCACGAAGTTTTTTTCTCCGTGCAAGCAACTTTGTTTCTCAGTGATGAAGAGGACGAGGAATTCGAAGGGATTACTAAGCTTATTCCTGATCATCGTGAATGGCCAAAGGGAGGGGCTCGAGGATTTCCTTGCCGAAGACGACCCTGGAGGCGCCCTTCTTGGTAGCGTTTTTAGGGGGGCTCACTTCCCCGTCCGGGTCACCGATGCGCGTGCTCAGAGGCTCCATGGGGGCGTCGGATTGGGCATCGTCGGGGGCGTCCGACTGGGCGTCGTCGTGGGCGTCGGGGGCGACCCCAGCGGCGCCGGCGTTGCGCTGGACGGGCGTCGTGTTGGGCTTGAGCGGGAAGCCCATGCGCTCGGCCGGCGAGGCGTCCATCTTGACGGCGCAGACGCAGCAGGACGGAAGGAGGAAGGAGTCTGGGTACGGCTCGCCGTTCTCCGGGTTCAGCGCCAGGAGCCGCCGGTAGATGTACTTCTGCTTGCACATCGCCCGGTATCCGATCGGGAAGTGCTCCGAGAACTGGCATAGCCCCGTCTTACTGCAACCACACACACAAAATGTTTGGAAAAACTAGACGCAGCCCACAGTTCAGCATCATTATTGAAATTGATAGACAAAGCTATAGACAGAAAAGACAAGGGAGTATGGAGCGATCCTATTGGTTGAGACGGGTGCTGCTCATAGACTTACGGGGGAAATGACGGACTGACTGTCGGGCCTCTCGCGGGCTGCCGTTGGTTAGTCTATTACTTACCTCCTTTGTTCAATCCAACCACCCATTTTAACCAATAGGATAGCTTCATTTTTCCTCTGTCTCCTGTGTCTATAACTTTGTCCATTAATTTCAATAATCAGCCCGCAAGAGGGAAAGAGCAGAACAAAACATAATTTTTACTGATAACTACAAAGTTTTATTGTGCTATAATGCCGTGTTAAGAACGGCGTATGAACATTTGAAAGTTGCCAAATCTTCTTTGATAAAACATGTATTTTTTGAGGAAGTTCAGCACATTTTTCCTTAAAATTTTCAGGTATTTTAGATTAAATTGCAGATAAAATTATCTGAAAAATCTAAGATAAAATATTCACAATGTTTCTACTAGATTTGCTTTTTATCAAAGGAAATATGGCAACGTCTGAAGGCTCATACGGCGTTCTCGTTCTCCCGTAGCTGCGTTTTTCGGGCAGTATATTTTTGCCACTGCATACGTGTGATTCATGTGATGTTACACATTTTCTGTTGCATTTCTATTTTTCGGATGACGAATGGTCATCGCTTTTGTTCCAAATTCCGTGCGATTCATCCGGTATGTTTTTTTGAAAATTTTGCACTTTAACGACAAAATTAGCTTTCTCAGAAGGAAAAACTAAAATCCAAACAAAGGGAGACCCATTAAAATATAATAGGTTAAAAAAAGTCTATGTACCATGCGGAGATACCTATTTTTTGTGATTTTGAGGGCCGGCATCGTTAGAATACATTTAAATAATGCAAATCTTGGAAAATTGACACCGTCATGATAAAAATCAGTGATAGTCAGCATTATTATGTAGCAACAATCTAAGCTTCGGTTAGTGTGGCATGCTACGGATGCTGAACCAATTTACTAGCGCTTGGATGCAACTATTCGAGCTCCATGGATGTGCGTATTGCTACGCACAAGAGTTAAGGCGTTTTAACTTGTGGCGTTTGAATAGCCGCCTCCCCAGCAGCGCACTGCGCTATGCGTAGCAATTCGATGCGAGGAGTTAGATAATATTTGGAAGTATTACAAGCTCATATCGATATCAATACGGAGCTTATAGGTTTTAGAAGTGGTTTCATTGATTTTCTCGTAAACTTGAACTCAAAAAACATAGCATTTTATTTAAAATGTGAGTAAATTAACATAAAAATTTGCAGTTTTAGTCGAAAATTTCATGTCAAACCTCTCTGAAAGGCTCGTTACATTGTGCGTCGGACTCTATTAAAATCGGATCTACTAAACTCGGTATCTACTAAACTCGGATCTACTAAACTCGGATCTACTAAACTCGGGATCTACTAAACTCGGGATCTACTAAACTCAGGATCTAAAATGACAGAGTGCCTTTAATTCGTTGCCTCTGTGCTTCGAAGACATCTCTTGGGCATGAATAGTTGCTCTACAAAATCACGCTCAGCAAATGGCGATGTCAAAACTGAAGCACAAAAGATACTCACATCCTACTTTAGTATACCATTTTTTGTGTCTAAGAAATATATTTATGGTAGAAACGAAGAATTTAAATCGCTCTGCTATTTTAGATGCTCGCAGTAGAACATTAAAGAAAGAACTAAGTGATACTTACTGGCACTTTTCCACTCTGACTCCTTGCTGTGATTCGGGTACTGATGGATGATTCACAATGAACAGCGGCTTATGTTTCTCATTTTGAGCCACTTTCGGGAAAACAGTCGATTCCTGTTGATTAATTGGAATAATTTATCATAATATGTTAAAATTCAAGGTGCTTTATATGTTCTCTATCAAGAGTTTTCGGATATAAATCTCTGTGGAAAAATAATATTTGAGCGAGAACTTTCTATTGTTGTATTGTAGCATCAAGGTATAGGAAAACATATTGCTGCAAGTAAATGCAACGTGCGCAAAAGCATAAAATGAAACTAAAACTGAAATATCATGTACGGTTCTTCAAATGCAAGGGAGTAAATCATGACCAGATCTATGAAAAGGGTACTTGTCTTCTGGAGGAAAAGTTTCTTTAACCTTTTTGAGGTGGTGAGAGGCGTGTGAATCTGGGAAATTGGGCGCAATGTTAACCCGGGTTTAAGTGTTTGCGAAAAGTTAAGGAAACTCCTCTTTTGGAAGATGAGGTCCCTTTTTATAGATCCGGCCATGACCATGTCCGTTGAATTCTTGTATATTCAATAAATATTTTTAGATTGTTCCGGTTTTATCAATGTGAATTCAAAGATTATTCTGAAGAATGACCGAGCGGAGCAATAGGTACGTGGGCTGATGAGAGTCACCCGAACACCGAACTACGTAACATTTGACATTATTCATAAGGGCACCGAAATATTACCAGGAATCCATGAGATTGGTGATCGTCTACAGACGGACAAATTTTCATTTGAAGCTCAATATGAGGCAAAAAATCGAAATTTACGCCAAAAGTTCGGCCAGATCTGGATAATTGCTCCAGTTTTTGCATGTATTCAGATCGAAGAAACCGATCCTGCTAGTCGGCACTTGCCAATTTCCAAAGAGACCATTCGCAATACGAGGAATTAACGTTCTCATGTGTAAGGTGCATTGTCAGATAAGATTACTCAAAACTTCAATGTTTCCAGTTTTAAGTCAGAGAAAAATAATCCATTTGGTATTTCTGCCAAACGGAACTACAGACGAGCGGGAAAGATGGAGTAAGCTCTAGAAAGCTGGATATGAAACAATGTAAAAGTGAGCGTGGTTCCCTTTGGTGAAATGGAAAAGCGGGATTTTACATTCTACCAAACGGAACTAAGTGCCGGCTGAATGTGGCACTCATGAGCCATGGGCATGGGAAAAGAGCCTTGTGGACAGGGCTCATAGGTTGAATGACGTCAACTTGAATCTCCTCGTCCCCGTCGGCGCCGGTGACGTCACTGGCGCTTTATGATTCCCGTTCATTCTTACGGCCCTCGATTAACTAACACACCCCTTGTTTCCCTCCTGTTTCTGGTTCCGTTCGGCAGAAATACGTCTATTTTAAGGTTTTAACTCGCATAAAATACACAGTGCGGATCTTGTGAATGTCGATGAGCTTTGAAGCTGTTGGGCTGTGGAAATGGATCGAATTCAAAATAGAGGAAACCTATGCCCTTTTTTAAAAAAAAAAATTAGTATGCAGAACCATTCTACGAAAAAAAGATCTAATTCTGATTCGTACTTACCACAGATACGCATAGCTGCGCTTCACTCAGATCGTCAATCTTATGCATCAACGATGGCTCTATCACCTAAAACATTTGTTAACAAGTGTTAGTCGTCGTCGTCGTCGAGCTACGATAAATATTAGAAAGACAGAAAGAAGAGAATGAAAATATTGAGAATTCCACCTCGATATATACTTATCAAAGTGGAAAATTCACTGACGAAAAAAGAAACAAGAAAACAAGGCTAGGGGACTGTAAAGCTCTTGCAGCTCTTATGATGGAACAATACCCGAAATTCATGTGTGTAAGAACAAATAAATAAGTTTACTCCAGGAGAATCAAGAGTTATGGTGTTATCATGCACGGGAAATGGGACGTCCATTCGCTTATTGGACGTATCTCTGCAAAACAGAACTATGTGCATGAAGACATAAGCTCCGAGACCCGTAAGACCATATGCATAACAGGGCTCACGTCATAATGCACATACGAGTAGTTCCGTTTGGCAGAAATACGTCCAATTAGTTACTTTAAAACTGAGTTGTTTCGGTTTCTTAATCAGAAAAACCGAATAATCTTCGATTGGTTACTTATTTGATTGGTTTCAACTCCACGTATAGAATATTTTCCTCTTTGAGGAGAGCGAGTAAAAAATATTAATTCCGTTGTGCAATGTTCAAAAGAAGTAAACAACCTCGGCTCACGGATAGAGTCAAATAAATATTGTTTTATTCTAGAAAATGAATTTATGAAAAATAAATTTTCTTGCTGTAAAGGTGAAAACTTACTTTGTCTTTCCCAAAGAACGCTTGGTACTTATCAATGCTATTCGCAACCAGATCCTCTACTTGCTGTCTGTAAAAAGAGATAAAAAAAAAATTATACTTTCGTTTCAATGTAGGATTAAAAAGAAAATATTTAACCTATTAATATTTAAAACAAATGAAAATTATTTTTTTTAGATATATCTAAAAAACCAATTTGAGGATTTATTTTTTTATCTTTAATGCGCTTCTGATTAAAGGCGAATATAGGTAAACTGGATAGCATGTAAAGTTCTGGAGAAAAGTTATTTTTATGGTTTTAAGAGCTTATCATCGTAATACTGAAAGTCAAAGAATTCTCAGTGGGTTCAAAAGAAAATTAGACATTGAAGCATGCGTCTAATGTACGAGATTGCGCATTTCTCATGTATGAGGGATGTTCTATTCAAACTATACGTAAACCAACTTGTTTCGCTTAATGCTGCTCGACCAATAATCACGGTAAATCCTGCGAAGTGGCAATCCTCCTTCTATCCTATTCAGAAAAATTACAAACAATCCATTTTAGATGAAGCAGGTTGCCAGTCTGCCTGTCAACTAATTAATGAGATTGATAAACATACCTGTAGACAAAAAGGACAAAGGGAAAATGGAGCGATCTTATCAGCTGAAACAGGTTGTCGTTATAGACTAAGAGGAAAAATAATGCACTAGTTATAGGGACTCTTGCACGTTGCCATTAGTTAGTCTATTACTTACATCCCTTGTCTATTGCAACCACTTTGGATTTCCTTTTTGTCTTCTTTGTCGATCGCTTCGTCTAATATATGTAATTTCAAGGGTCAGCCCGCTGTCTCGATAAATATTGATTGTTTCTGGATGAAAATCCGTTCTGCCAACTTACAAGAATCACTGGTGATCAGCACTAACAGTTCGTTCCTTCTGTGAAAGTCATCTTTAAGAGATGTACACACTTTCATTTGTTTTGGGTCCAAGCCTTTTCATTCCAGAGACTATTGAAGTTTCATCAGAAATGTGACCTTAACGGACTCTGTGTAAGGGTTGAAATAATACGAGAGCAAAGATCAACTTAATAACGGTGAACATTGATCGAAGGTCAGCCGGCTGAGGGCTATGCTGCTCAGTGGCGAGGCGTGAATGATCAATTGGACGTATTTCTATCAAACAGAACTAACTCGTATGTGCATTGAGACATGAGCCCTGATACCCATAAGAACATATGCATAACAGGGCTCACGTCATAATGCACATAGTTCCGTTTGACAGAAATGAGTCCAATTATCGATATTCCTCCACATGAAACTGTGGTAAATAATCGAGAAGGTGTTCGTTGCGAACACCCCGTTTATCGATCCTTTTCCAGACGTTTAAATGGTAGAGCAATCGATACATCGCAAAGCACGCCACGCCACTCATACTGCCGTGCTAAGGAAGAACGCCGTATGAACATTCAAGAGTTGCCAAATTTCCCCGGATAAAACAGGTATTCACGACGAAATTTATGCATATTTTCCCTTGAAATTTTCAGATATTTTAGATTAAATTGTGGAGGAATTAGTCTCAAATTTTTGAAGAGAAATATTCACAACTATCCCAATTAATTCGTATTTTATCGTGGGAAATTTGGCAAGGCCTGAAGATTCATACGGAATTTCTCCATAGCACGGCAGTATGGATCATCAGAGGTTTGTTTGAGCGGCGCGGTTTCAGTTTGCTGAGCTCTAGCCTCACGTTCAATGATAAAAATCTGATTGGATACAATAAAGGTCGTACTTTCCTTGGCAGTTCTTTTTTGCTCTATAGAATGAGAATAAGGAATTGCTCGTGGGGTGGTACGAAGGGACATCTCATGCAATCGAGGGGTGTCTGGAGAGTCTTTCCGAAAAAAAATTGAAAATGGGCACGTTTTAAGCGCAAATGTAATCGATTTTTACCCATAAATTAATTTAAATACAATTTTAAAAACGATGGAGACGCCATGCACGCACCTCGCTAATTCCTTCAACATTTTTAGAGGAGGCGACGTTTTCTGGGATGGACCAGGCCCCCCTAATTCCGCGATAACATCCGTATGCATAAAGACAATATTTTATCACGGCAGTAGCTTTAATTGGCGTGGTAAAATTTTTCAGAAGATAACGCCAGTTCACTTATTGATAAACTGCATGTTGCGTAAACTATCATTGCAAGTAAAATTTTACTTGGTCTCATAAATCCATTCCATTCCATTCATTCTTACCGCCCGACAATTAACGAGCACAACCTATATTTTTCACCCGCACATAGATCTGTTTGATAGAAATACGTTCAATAGGTCTGCTCCTTGATGTAGCCTCATTCTGATTGGCCGATGGGCTGATGAACATTTCTACATGAGGAATTAATTTAAATATGGCTGTGGTAGGTGCACCTGCTGAAGTTGCTCTATGCCTCTGGCGATGCGTCTGTTGGTACTTACGTAGGGTAGGCGTCGAAGTCCTCGCAGAAGGTGTCGCCGTCAGCGCAGGACTTGAACATCTTCGGGTCGGGAGCGAAGGAAGCGACGCCGAAGCGGGTGCTCGTTCCCAGCGTCGTCGTCCAACTGCTCGACTCCGTCGGGAAAATTATGTCGTCCCGCCGCGACTGAGAACCTGCCAACATCACCCATTTCATTAGATTCCGCCCGAAATCATTCCGAATGGCCCCAAAAATTAATTTCACGCATTTGAAACGCTTGCCTCGAAAAGTACCCAACTCCAACTCCGAAAAGATAGGGAGAGAGGGGGAGGGAAGGAGAGGGGGAGAGAGGGAGAAAGAGGGAGGGGGAGAGAAAGAGAGAGAGAGGAAAAAATACACCCAGGGATCGGAAAAAACTGAAATCACCCGAGAATAATTGTCTTAATTTGTCTAAATTGTCTAAAATTATTATTATTCTTTATTATTGTCACGTAGGGGAAGTTAAGAGGAATCAGTCGACTGACATAGTCATAGTACGAGTCAGTACGATATAATATAATATTATATAATATAATATAATACAAATATAAATGTAAGAGTATAGGCAACATGCAACCACTGCTAACAATCATGGTAATATCGCAACTTCATCACAATTTCTGCCTTGAAGTGAATTAATTGCCATATTATTATTACGCACGTTTGATGACGAAATTGCTATTTCAGTAAGCGGTAAAGATACATGACTCCATTGCAACGATTGCCATTTTACAATTTTTTTCTTCCCAATGATTTCATTTTTTATTAAAGTTTACATTTGACAGCAAAAGTTGTGAGTCTGAGTTTTAAATACCTACAAATGACCTCATTCTTTTCCTTAGTAAATGACACGGAAAAAAGGGGTACGGGTTAAGCCCAACTTGAGCATTTCCAATTAATTGTGGCAATTAATTGTGTGTGTCCAATCAATTGGTACCCCAAATAAATTGGGCTACTAACCCAAATTTTTCGGTACTACCACAACTAATTGGAAATGTCCATATTATCCAACAAAATTGGGTAGTACAGTACCACAATTTTAGGGGATTACCCTTCACAATCATTTTTCGTGTAACCGATTTTAATATTAGTAATGGAAATCTCGGTGAGTCCATCGTGCTTTTCATAAAATATCATGCGTGCCTCTCAAATTATGAAGAATGCAAGCTTCATTCCGATATGAGGTGAACAAGTTCAGTGCAAACTGAAGACAACACAACTTTTGAAGTTCATGGAAATAAAGAGAGACGTTTTTCCTCTAAGATCAATTACCTGAAGCTGGCTCGAGCTCTGAAAAAGGAATAAGTCTCATTCATACAACTTTTTTACCATGCTAGCCTTGAATGATCAAAAAACACTCATTTAGCCTATCCTCTTCAAAAGGGAGAAACAGAAAGAGGAAGAAAAACTTAAAGATCAGACTACCATTTGGAATTTTCACGTTGAGCCGACAAGTTCATATCATTTAATGATATTCAATAATTTTTTAAGAGAATAAATGTGGGCAAATCTACCGAACCTCAAGAGATATTCCGGTTCCATCAATTATTAGATAAGGAAAATACAGAATGCGCACTTCGGTTTTTCACGTTGTGAGTTTTTTTGTGTTCTACATTTTTTATGAAAAACTTTTTAACATCATTTCTTAACTTAGTTTTTCTCTTTTCCGCACCGGTGTTTTCAAGAAATGAGGTTGATAGGTTGGTTAGTTTAGGTTGAAATTTATTGAAAAGTTTTACATGAATATACTATGATGTACCTTACCACTGAAGCTTCCGTGCAAAGGTCTGTCCCTCTGACTAGCTGGAAAAATTGAACCATTGGTCCTGAAATCAAGTAAATATCAGTTAAAATCATCTGCTAGCGTGGGAATTCAATGGAGCTTGTATCGCGATGAGCCACTTCGTGTATACATTAAAACTTAAATCGAGCTGAGAAGCACCAAAAAAATGTTTTAGTTCGTCTTTAAAAGCCTCCGAAAAATTCGCATTATTAAATCGCGAAATTCTTTAAATATGTTTGTCGCTCTGTGCTACTCGGGCCGGCAAATGGGTGAAGGAGAGGGGGGGGGTTCTTGCGTGGGGGTTGAAAGGAGAGGAGGATTGAATGGAGAAGGTAAACTTCTTAGTGTGTTCGCTCCTAGTAACGACTGGCGCGACGGCGCGCGGCCGGCGCGGCGACGTTTTTCTGCACTTGTCTACTTTTCTAACTCAGCGTTTGAGTCTCCAAATATATGCACATTCAAAAGAGCGGTAGTGCTCAAAGAATCTGATGGCGCACATTTCTTCATGAAAATTTTACGTATCACGATGTTCACACGGTATGATGTTTCTACAAATTTCCTGCTTCTTTTTTCTTCTCCTTCCTCTATTCTTCCTCTTTTCTAACGGCGAGAAATAATTCAAAACGATTTCGCGAAAACAGCATACGGTGAGCAACTGAGCACTCACGTTATTGACAGTTTTTTGGTATACGGTAAGTGCGCTTGAACCTAAATTCAGCCTTCATCCGACATAAAAAACATAACTTTAAAAAACCGGAATAAGTTGACGTGAATGCAACCAAAGTTATTACGTCTACAACAAATTAGCCGCCAGAGACCATCTGACTATTTTAAGAGGGTGATACAAATATTCGAGCACGTAGGAGCTCGCATTGCCTACATTAAATATTGAAGGCGAACTGAAGACGTTAAGTAACCTGACTCGCCGTGGGAAAAAGCTACTATTAGTACTTTTTGAGTACGTTCCCACCAAGCGCGCCATTTGACAACGATACCACTATTCGACCACGTGAGAGCTCATGTTGCCAAAACTGAATTCGAAGACTAACTGACTGGCGTGAATGTGACCTCTTTCCCTTCGGTGAAAAGATCTCTTTTTGTACGTGATTTCCGAGTAACCGTACCAGTGGAGCGGCGTCCTTTGCGATATATCGATTGATCTGTCATTTAAATCTATGGAAAAGGATCAATTAACAGGGTGTTCACAGCGAACACCTTAATAATCGGTTCTTAACCACGGATTCAAATGGGGAAATATCGATAATCGATCGTTCACGCCATACCACTGAACCGTAAGCTGTTTTACCATGCTATCATTATTTGAATTTCTTCTCATTTCTTATTCTTATATTTTTCTTCTTCCTCTTTCTCTTATACTCTCTTAATTTTCAATTCCTGCCTTAACGTTTTCCCTTTTCTTTCTCGGTTTTCCATCCTATGTCTCCTCGTTCCTCTCCCTTATTTCTCTCTCTTTCCTTTACCTCTCCTTCTACTTCTATCTTTTCTCTTCTTCTTACTCCTATCCTCTTCTAACCTTTTTCTCCTTCCTCTCTCTCTATCCCTCCCTCTTCAGAACAATTCAGTTCTTTGAATTCAAGCGCCAGAATTTTGAGAAGAGCTTTAATTTTATGTTACAGCATTGACACTGAGTAGTGAGTATTCATATCTGTAAAAACGGCTTAACATTTGGGCCAGACAACATGCTTAAAATGAAAAAGTCTCTATCTGAATAAAATTGATGACCAAGGCTTATAAATTGGTGAGGAATGCAGTTCTTTTTCGGTTAAAATACTCCTCAATTTGGCACCCGACAGAAACTGATGGATACAATTCACGACAATTTCACCAAATGCAATTCAATCCACAAAAATTGAGAGACAATCTTAGACTGTGGCGCGCATCGTGAAAAGATGGACGTTCTAGGTTATTGCATCTTACGTACTCGGAATATTTCCGAAAGGTCCTTTTTCCTGCAACCCAAGTACCGCACTGATTGCAATAAATTGCGATTACTTGGTAAAATTATTTCCACAGAATTGGATTGTTTTGCATGTTGCCAGTCTATCAATTGAAGGGGCTCTTCATGATGAAATTCATTGGAAGAGAATTCAAATAAATTGCAATTTTCCTTTGCATTGAAAATTGTCTACCTTTCGTCTGATTGTTTAAAATCGGCGTTTACTGAGCAGTGCCCAGTGCTGTAATAATGTTGCAAAATCGCTGTAAAATGCTTACTTCATTTCAATTTTTTCGTTGCAAAATGCTACTTGGAGTCACACTTAACTTGACTCTTTGTTAACCTCCTAAGACCCAAGTATTTCAAAATTTGTACGGTGTTTCAGTCTTGAGTCCATTTTAGCTTTTCGCATTTTTACTTTTTGCACAAAAATCATCAAAAATCGCAAAGAAAGTGATCTATCTTTTGCAGCATAAAATAGAGCATTACAACTCTCCCACAAGTCATTGAATGGTGTCAGTGCAGCGCTCTGGTAACTCAAATTAGAGCTTGAAATGAAGAGTCGATTTGCCACCGGGTCTCTAGCACTACAAAAATAAATGGCAATACGTTCTGCCTCGGGAACTTAGGAGGTTAAACCTACTGAAAATATAATTTTAAATTTTTTTGATGCAAACTTGAAAATTTTCTGACGACTTGGCACTAACTTAATACCTACTGGAGCTGTGACAAAAGGTGACAACCTTTCGGGGGGAGACGATCGTCTAGGGTGGTTGAGAACCCTTGGGAGCGTGTCTGGGACTTCGTCTGTTCTGTGAAGAGATTTTGGATGTGTTTGGCTCCCGATTGGCAGGGTCGCAGCGGATCTCCTGTGGTTGATATGATCGATGATCCATTCTTGTGAAAGGCCCCCCGAGGGCGGTCTGCACTCCACCAAGCAAACCTGTCGACAAAGATACACCAATCAATTTTCACGAATAACAAAATGCTTCTTCGTTCAAATTTCACGTAAAAAGTCATTTGCCTGTGCAATGTGCATTGTTTATTCTAGCATTCCACTTTCACCATTGTTAATATTTTGGCAACTTTTTTAAAGGACCCCTGCTTCATGCGACCTAAAAATGAGGATTTTCCCGGGTGTAAATTTTCTCATCAAAGCACGGGGAAAATGACAAGTACAAATCAAAGATAACATAGCGGACACACCCAGTGGTAGAGATTTATTAGCGAAATTCCCCGAGTCCACGGGCGATATGGTCTCTGACCCTGAGGAGTAAAAGATGGAGGGGTTTTAATTTTGGCCTCAGGCCAACAAAATTCCCTTTGCTCAAAATGTGACTCATCAAAAGGCCCAGGAGATTTTGAACATCACGAGCAAAGAAGATTTAATTTAGAAAAGCCCCATCAAGGATAAGTGGAAAATACGGGCACAAATTCATCATAAACAACAAAGCTACTCTGCGGGAGAGGCTTACAGTCAGCTCATGGCTGGTGCCTGATTTTCGATTGCTTTTTGCCGTTGGTAGATGAATTCTCGTTAAGTGTCGCTTCTTGTAATCTTTTTACCTTGTTGAAAATCACTCAGTGAAGTTGATATATGGAGTCAGCGTTGAGACAATGAGACATTTATTCTGCTGTGTTAAGGAATAACGCCGTACGAGCCTTCTGACGTTGCCAAGTTTCCTTCGATAGAAACTGAATTTACTGGGAAAATTGTGAATATTTTTCTTCAAAAATTTTAGACTATTTTGTAGGCTATTTAAACTAAAATATCTGAAAATTTCAAAGAAAAATGACCATGAATGTCGTCAAAAATACGAGGTCTGTTAGATTAGAAACCGGATTTTGGTCATTACTAGCCCACAATGCGTCCGAATTAGGTTTTCTTGAGCTTTCCTGATAGCTGAATATATACTTAAGAACGCTACGTTCACAGATTTCGTTTATTTTGATCAGTGTTTATTCTGTGTCATCTTGAATACGAGTAAGTCAGGTGCGTTTTGCGAATTTCATCATGCGATCACTGATAGTGCAAATATTCAACATTAAATTTTGTTTTAAGCTCGATATACCTTGTACCGAAACTTTTGGTATATGCTTAGTTAAGTTTACCATGATCATTGTATGAGATGTTTCCACTGTTTTGAATGGGTTAAACGATTCAAAACTGGTCAGGAGTTCGTCAAAGATGAGGAGCATGGGAATCGACCCTCAACGGCAACTGACATTTGTCACGTGGAAGAAGTGCGGGCAGAAGCGCTCGAAAATGGTCGTTTCAAGCTTGTTGAACAGAGTAATATTTCTGAAGGCTCTGTACATACAATTTTGATAGAATATGTAGACACGTATCGAGTTTCAGGTACACTTGCCCCTTGATTGTTGTCCGTTGAACGAAAATCCAACCAAATGCCAATTTCCCTTTAGCTGCTTGAACGTTCTATCAATGATCCTACATTTTTGGATAGGATAATTTTCTATTAAAATACTTTAGTGTACGGCTACGATATGGAGACGAAACTCCAATCGTCCTCGTGGGTTGAAAAATTTAGTACGTGCAAGACCGAAAAAAGAAAGACAAGTTCGGTCAAACATAAAAATCGCAAAACACCCTTGAGGTTGCCTTACTTCAAGCCACATACCAACGAAGCTGATTAGGATTTTTCAAATTTTTGAACGTAGCGTTCTTATATATATTTTCAGCTATCAGAAAAGCTCAAGAAAACGTAATTTGGACGCATTGTGGGCTAGTTATGACCAAAATCCGGTTTCTAATCTAACAGACCTCGTACATGTTTCATCAAGGGAAATTTGGCAACCGTCGAATGTTCATACGGCGTTTTTTCTCAGCACGGCAGTATTGAGACGAATAATTTTTGGCACGATTGAAAGATGTACGTTTACGCTATCTGACAAATACTGTCTGAGCGGGCATGAAAAATTAGCGCTCATTCGTACTCTTGAAGATGGGCTGAAGAATTAAAGACAGTTCTTAATTCCAGGAGTATTCATGCCCGTGTGAGCTGCTTGTAAAATTACTTCTCTTGAGTTAAGTAGTTCATCGATGAGAAGCTTTAGGAAGAGTGAACAATTTTTTGATGACGTAGAATATATCTCTCGGCCGGGAATTCCATTTTTTTTTTTCAGAGGCATAGCTGATTGCAGAGTTTAAGTTGAAAATGGTCAACTTTGGGATCAATAAATCAACGCATACGTGATTATTATTACTGAGATTTTAATGTTTAGCAATCTTAAATGATAAAGCACAAAAATTAAGATTCTTAAATTAAGATTAGGTAATTAATCATATTCACCAACGAACATTTGAGCATTCACACCTATTGTAGTTGCAAAATACAGAGAACTTATCAATGCAAAGGGGAATATTTTTATTTAAAAAAAAAGAAGAAAAAATCATTCAGATAAAGATATTAAAATCTGCGAATGAAAAATAAATATGCTAATCAATGTAAAACATATTTTCTAAATACGGAATCGGCCATCAATGAAAAATTGTTTGAGTTTTTTCGCACTCCACAAAATCGGTTAATTTTTTTTTGCGAAAATGATGGATCAGAATAATTTCGATAGACGAGGACCACTTCATTATCGCAAAAATCGGATTAATATTTGACAAATATTTACTTTTGATTAATTACAAATATTTTAAGTGCATTTCGAATCAGAAAGTATAATTTTCTCAGAAAACCAATGCTTGGCAACTATCGCGTAAATTTTTCTGCGGACTTCGAGGACCTTCAAAATTTACGATTTTTTAAACAAATTTGAAAAACATTTCTATTGGAGTTTCCTAATGTCACCGCGATTAGACACGGTAAAGACTGCGGCAACAGAGGTGACACAGTCACGTCCAGACGACACGAGATGAATAACAAACAGTAAAGGAAAGTCCAGGATTAGTACAGCTGCGTGTCAAACGGAGTCCACAGGAATGGTTTCAAGTCTGAATTTATATCCCACTTCTGGGAATTAGCGAGTGGGTAAATCAGGTTCTGCACGCAAACTTTATCAACGACTCAGAAAGAGGGATTCCAGGTGTGGTGCTTTTAATGCTGGCCACAAGGTGATCCAAGATCAAATCAAAACACATGTATCAGTAAAATGAAGTTTATAAAAAACTCAATCCATAANNCCAAAAAAAAAAAAAAAAAAAAATCTGATCTTGATTCCTGCATATTCTCCTGATTCCTTATATCCTAAACATTATTAATTTGTCAATATGAGGGTAATTAATTTTATAGGTTGAAATTGAGATATTAAATCCAAACAGACCGAAAAAATTTCGGAATGGAGTGCCAAAACGGACAAAAATAACAAAAAATGCTAATTCACGAGATACCCAAATCATCATATTTCGCAATCCCCCCTCCCCATGGAGTTTCAGAGAAATGTACTACTGTTCAATTTAAAAGGCGTAACGCACCGAAGTTCATAAATCAAAATTAAAAAGTCCACGTGCCGCGCCGCGCTAAGCAGGAAATACCGCCAACTTTTCTGACCGTTTGTTTGAGTCTCCGTGAAATTTCATAGTCTTCTTTTTTTTCAGTTCGATTTAATAGATGTAACGCGCCAAAAAAAAAAGTTCATAAATCAAAATGAAAAAAGGCAGATGCCGAGCCGCGCTGGGTGGGAGATGTCGTCAACTTTTCTTCGTTCGTTCAAGTCTTCATGAAAAACAAGTTGGGTCATCGCGTTGAGGCAGTTTTATCATAATACTCTTGATGCCGTAAGTAGCTCACAAAACTTTCGTAATTTGTTCATATTCCCGTGCTAAGGAAGAACGCCATATGAACATTCGAGAGTTGCCAAATTTCCTTCGATAAAATGTCTATTTACAAGGAAAGTTGTGTGCATTATTCCTCGACATTTTCAGGATTTGTACACCGAAAAAAGGGGGGTGTCAAATCAACACAGAGTTGTGTTGGGTTGGCACAACTGTTGGATTGGCCATTTTTACAGAACACAACGTAGTGTTAAATCAAGAAAATAGTTGTGTCAGATCAAGTAGACAGGTTGTCACCACTTAACACTCTGAGTTGGGTCAAGTCAAAGAAAGTAGTTGTGTTAAATTAACACAACCTACATTGGAAAAAAAAAAAAAAAAGCTTGAAGCAAAGGTGAAAAATTACAGGATTAAATACGGAACTTGAATGGATTTGGTGCCGAGGCATCCTATCGTCACGTGAGCGATATTAAATCTCTGTACAATTACCCGCATCACGGTCGTTCCCAAACGGTCTCCCATCTAAGTACTAACTACGCCCGATGTTACTTAACCCCGCGATCGCCCAAGTGCCGCTCCAGTGGAGTTCCGGAAGCTCTCTTTACATGGTGGGGTAACTAAGCGTTCATAAGTGTCCTCAGCGCCAATTCCATGTTTGAAAGCAATGATATTCTCGGAAATTTCTATGCAGTTTCAAAGGAAGAAGTAAAATTAAGAAAAATAAATTTATAAAAAATAAATAAAATGAAATAAAATAAAAAATGAATAAATATATGGTAACTAGTATAAAGAAACAAAATAAAATAAAGTAGATTGAGATAAATATAAAGAAAATAAAATATGTCAAAATATTTGAATAAAATAGTATTGGTGGTATGTAGAATTTATTCGGCTCCAAAGTAACTTTTGGCTATAAGGCACCTCGTTTGCTCCAAGATCTACACGGCATTNTTGCTACCCCTCCCTCGTCAATGACCCCTTGGATCTTCGCTACTCTTGAGTGCTTGTCGTTATTTATGGGCGGCTATCCCATCCACTCTAAATTCCAACCATCAAAATACAATTCCACAACAAACTAAACTGTCTATATCGTGCAGATTTACAGGAAGATGACAAAAGCGTGTTTTTGTTTCCTATCGGATTACCCTACCAGAGTCCTGAGCTGTATTATTGGCAAAAATTCTTGGCGCATACACGTACGT